TTAATTCCACCCCCTCTCTGGATTCCTCCCTCTCTCTATATATCCACATATCTCTATCTATCTATCTATCTATCTATCTATCTATCTATCTATCTATCTATCTATCTATCTATCTATCTATCTATCTCTGTCTATATATAGATCTTTCTCTCTTTATATATATCTATATCTATCTGTCTGTCTATCTATATAGATTCCCCCCTACTCTCTCTCTCTTCTCTATTAACCTTATCCCACGCTGCTCTCAAAAGTGGCAAGAAAGCGATATGAGCATCATTGCAGCACTATAGTGCTAGTATAAATATGGCGCTAGCGCTATAATAGCGCTATGGATAAGCTCGCGCTATTGCAATGCCCGCTGAAACCGACATTCAAAAGAATGCGATTGATGTTGCATTCTGAGCGGTTTCTCGCTGGATTCTGAGCGACGTCGTGTAATCACACGGAAAAATATAGCGCTATAGCGCCTGATTCTTAGTGGATTCTGAGCGACGTCGTGTAATCACACGGAACACTATAGCGCTACAGCGCCTGATTCTTAGTGGATTCTTGCTGCTTTTGGCCCCGTGGGATAAGGTCCTATGTCTGTCGATCTGTCTATATCTATAGATCACCCCCTCTCTATTTATATCTCTATATATCTCCATAACTATATGGATTCCTCCCTCTCTCTAACTCTCTCTCTCTCTTTCTCTCTCTCTATGTCTATAATATCTATATCTCTTTATCTATGTATGTATGTATGTATGTATAGACCCCCTTCTCTATATATTTATATCTTTATCTCTACATCTATCAATATAGATAGATAGATCTCTCTCTCTTTCTCTATACCTATATCTCTATCTATCTGTCTATCGATCCTCTCTCTCTCTCTCTCTCTCTCTCTCTCTGAAATGCAGAAGCATAGGGAAGTTAATTTGCAGTGGTGGAGACTACAAGTCTCAGAATCTCCCTCCAATGTTGGCTTGGGGATTTTGGACCTTGGAATCCCATTAAGGAACTTTCCCGTAAGCTGCATAAGAGAAAGAGAGAAAAAGGATGAAATGCCAGAGCTTGGGGAAGTTACTTTGCATGGGGGGACTACAAGTCCCAGAATCCCTCTCTGATGTTGGCTGAGGGATTTTTGGAGTTGGAATCCCCTAAAATAACTGTAGGGGTCTGAGTTTGGCAGAAGCTGCAAGTGCATGAGAGAAAGTGAGAAAAGGGATGAAATGTTTGAGCTTTGGGAAGTTACTTTGCATGGGGGAGGGGACTAGAAGTCCCAGAATCCCCTTTTGATGCTGGCTGGGGAATTCTGGGAGTTGGAATCCCATAGAAGCACTTTCTCTAAATTGGGGTCTGAGATAATTGGGGTCTAAAAGTGAATGAGAGAAAGAGAAAAAGGATGAAATGCCAGATTTTGAGGAAGGCACTTTGCAAGGGTACAAGTCCCAGAATCCCCCTCCAATATTGGTTGGGGGGTTCTGGGCGTTCGAATCCCATAAAGGAACTTTCCCTAAGCCCTGTATAAACTTTCACCTGTGAAGCAGACACATTGTGTTTATTTTCCCCTACCCAGCTTCTGATTCAGGCTGCATCTACATTGCAGAATTAATGCAGTTTGACCCGGCTTTAACAGCCATGGAATCCTTGGATTTGTAGTTCATGTGGCACCAGAGCCCTCTGACAGAGAAGGCTAAATAGCTCCAAAACGACAAATCACAGGATCCCAGTTAAAGTGGTACCAAACTGCATTAATTCTGCAGTGTCAATGCAGCTTCAGTTGTCCTCAAAGTTGGCTGTTTTCCTTTTCCTTCCCATTCCAGTCTTGCATTAAAAAACAACATTCTTCTAGTCTGATCCCTGTGTCTATGTGTATTTATTACCCATTTTGTACCAAGGGTTGGGAACCTGTGGTCTTCCAGATGTTGTCGGACTCCAACTCCCATCGGTTCTAGCCAACATGACCAATGGTTATGTACGATGTGAGTTTTGTTTTAATAGCACCTGGGGGATCTCTGTTCTGTAGGTTTTTGAGAAAAAATAATCATTGTGGTTCAGCGCAAAAAAGTGCAACCAAGGAAGAAATCGCATCCCCAAAACACCAGCTTCCTTGGGTAGGGAGCTCCACAGTCAAGGGGCTGTTACAGAGAAAGCCCTTGTTACATGTGTCTACCAACCTAGTTTCACAAGGTGTTGGGACACACAACAGGACCTCCTTTGAAGACCTCAAATTTCTGGCAGGCTCATATGGGAGGATGCTGTCTTTCAGATATCTTGGCCCCAAGTCATTTAGGGCTTTGCAGGTCAATACCAGCACCTTGAATTGAGCTCGGAAGCAAATTGGAAGTCAATACACCTCTTGTGTGTACTGAATGGTTCCCAACTGACAAAGGGGTCAGGCAAGGCTGCATCCTTTCACCCTATTTTTTCAACTTGCATGCAGAACATAGTCTAAGAAAAGCAGGCTTGGACACAGAAGCAGGAGGAGTGAAAATAGGAAGGAACATCAGAAATCTAAGATATGCAGATGACACCATACTATTAACAGAAAACATCAAAGACCTAGAGCAACTACCGAGGAAGGGCAAAGAAGAAAATACAAAGGCAGGGTTACTATTGAACGTAAAGAAAACAAAAATAATGATCACGGAGGAGTGAAAACAGAAGGAAGGAATATCAGCAGTCTAAGATATGCAGATGACACCATATTATTAGCAGAAAACATCGAAGACCTAGAGCAACTACCGAGGAAGGGCAAAGAAGAAAGTGCAAAGGCAGGGTTAATGTTGAACATAAAGAAAACAAAAATAATGATCACGGAGGAGTGAAAACAGAAGGAAGGAACATCAGCAGTCTAAGATATGCAGATGACACCATACTATTAGCAGAAAACATCTGCAACTATCGAGGAAGGTCAAAGAGGAAAATGCAAAGGCAGGGTTACTATTGAACATAAAGAAAATGAATGTAATGATCATGGAGGATTTTCACAAGTTCAGCCTAGACAATGGGGACATAGAAATAGTAAAAAAAATCCTATACCCTGGATCACATTGACCAGAACAGGGACTGCAGTCAAGAAATCAGAAGAAGACTAAGAATGGGGAGGGCAGCTATGAAGGAACTAGAAAAGCTCTTAAAGAGCAAAGATTTGCAACTAAGCACAAAAGTTAGAATCGTACAAACATTTGTATTTCCCATTACTGTGTATGGATGCGAGAGCTGGCAGTTAAGAAAATGGACAAAAAGAGAATAAATTCATTTGAGAGAATGT